TGGGCACAGCCGCACAGCCCAGCGTGCAGCCGCAGCCAGCCCCGAACCCGCTGCTGCTGCTCTTCACCTTCACCTCCCGCTTCCCCGCTCCCGCCACGCCTGACCCCGTCACCCAGGCGCTGCGCTGGGCGGGGGGCGGGGGGCGGCACGGGGAAGTGTGGGGCAAAGCCCGCCGAGGGGTGCTGCGGGGTGCGCGGGTGTGCGTGTGCGCATCCCCAGTTGTCTATAGCCCTCCTTGAGTTCTGCACTGTGCAATAGGTACGTGTCTGCACCTTCCTTGGGTTCTGCACTGTGCTGTTGAGAGCTATGCAGTATGTCCTAAATGGCGGTGCAGAACTCTCAGTGAGCTTTCAGAACGGAAAATATCACCAATAAAAAAATAGAAAATCTTTTTAAAAGAAGTTATCATTTATCAGTGCACTTTTTCAAGCAGAACTCCGGTATGTTCAGGCCAAACGCAACTGGGTTCAGTGGAAGTTTTGCCTGAGTGCTGCTGCAGAGCCCACGTTAACATGAGCGATGCGGGGGTGTACACCTGAGCCCCAGCTTCTGCCACAAACCCTGAGAAGTATCTGAAGCAGTTCTAAAGGGCGCGGTGACGTCCCCTCTACAACTCTTCTTCCTTTTTTTTCCTTTTTTTTTTTTTTTCCCAAGCTCAGAATTTAAAATATATATATATATATATATATATATCATTCCCTCAAACAGTAGTTTTGTGCCACTTAAGGCACATGTATATACATGTGTATACACATACACTCTTCAATTTCTTGAGAACGCTTTCGTGAGATAACGGATGCTATTTCACTGAAACTTTTTTTTTTTTAGTCTGTCAAAAAAATAGTCGGCAAAATACCCTATTTTGGATTCGAGATATAATTTATTATCTCTCACACGCGTTTGCGAACACAATCTTAAAACCGTAATTGCAGGTTTCTTGATGAGCAGTTTTCTTCCGCTACGGTCTATGCAAGCAAAGTTAATCGCCTCAAACACCATCTCGGGAAACAAAAACAGCTCTAGAGTCCACACAGACCGAATAGCTCAAATAGGGAAACGCGGAGAAACGGTGCTGAGACACAGCAACACTCTGCAAAGCACATCACAAAAATCCTGAGAGCTCTGCCTGAGGGTTTGGCACGTAACGCCTAATGGAAATAAGGATCAGATAACAGAATCATTGCCAGATATGAAATGAAATAAAATGAAATGAAAAATAAAATAAAATAAAATAAAATAAAATAAAATAAAATAAAATAAGTAAACCTCACATTCTCTACCAAAAGATTCTGCATAAAGAAGAGCCCCAAAGACACTCTTAGCTAACAAAAGAGTTTATATGCCTGGAAACAGGCTAAGGTGAAGGCGTATTTTGGGCCTTAGCGGAGCTGCTATATCCCGTGACAACCTCAGCATTTTTTCCTCCCGAAGACAGTCTCAGCGCTGACCGTGCGTGCACTGAGACGCGCATACATTGCAGCCCCGGCACCAGCCGTACGTGGGAGGGAGGGAGAGGTGCACCTGAAGCTCTCGGGCAGCATTGGGCTGTGCCAAGCCCAGCGCAGAGCGCTCAGAGCCCACAGAGGTGAACTCTGAGGAGCCATCCACTGGAGTCCCCTTCCCGGGAGTTATTATGCATCACGCTTATCTAATTAATGCTATTATCCAGTCCCAAACTGCCATGGCTCTGAGATTGTGCCTTCCTCCAACCACACTCTTCTTGTCCCCTTTTTAGCACACTCTCAGTAGATTTTTTTACACTGCAATCTAAATAATACTTTAAGTATGTGCTATTGAGTTACCTGAGGTATACAACCGATTGGAAGTGGTTAATAATAAATCATTCTCTTTGTCAGCTGCAGCAGATGCCATCCTTTTAATATGTTTAGGCACAAACGTACAGAGCGGGGTCCTGAGGCTCCAGGAGTTTCAATCACACCTATTTCACTGTATTATTTCTGATGGCCTCGTTGCAAAGCAGACTCTTTCTTTCTTTCTTTCTTTCTTTCTTTCTTTCTTTCTTTCTTTCTTTCTTTCTTTCTTTCTTTCTTTCTTTCTTTCTTTCTTTCTTTCTTTCTTTCTTTCTTTCTTTCTTTCTTTCTTTTTCTTTTTCTTTTTCTTTTTCTTTTTCTTTTTCTTTTTCTTTTTCTTTTTCTTTTTCTTTCCAGTTTTTGCTATCTCTTTTTTTAATGACAATGGAGGGAAGGCCGGGGGGAAGGGCTCTTCCAAGTGGAGGTATCACCTTTTCCTCCCCAAACAAAGCGGCCCTTCTCTCGCGGCGGTGATTAATTTGGAATTGCAGAGGTGAGAGTGGATCAGAGGATACCAGAGTTTTCACCGCAGTCCCCCACACAGCGCGGGGCCGGGCATCCCAGCTCCCAGCAGAGTCTTTCGCTCCTCTCGCTTCCGTGCACATTTGCCTGCATCTGTTTATTCATCACCTATTTTATTCATCTCCTTCCTCCCTTTATTCTTTTAAATATTCTCACTGCGAGAATTCAGATTTCCTATTGCTTCTTCATTCACCCTCAGATTTTTTCCCCCTTTTTCTTTCTCATTCCTGCTTCCTTCGGCTCAGCTCTTTCAAGTGCCCGCGTTACCATCTCCGAGCCCCGCATTATTTCCCGGGGCCCATTGTAGCGTCTGCCGCTCAGCGTTACGAGCCCAGAGCTGCCCCAACACCGCAAATGAACAGCTCCGTTCTCCGCTGCGGGAGCCAATTAGCTGCTAAACCTTCTGCACAACTTTTCTAATTATTTTCAACAGTTATGGCTTTCACAGGGCTCCCTAAACTGACCAAGAAAGGATTAAATACTCCTTAAAATCAGTCATCACGTTGCCTCCTAAAATTAATGGATTGGTTTTCTGTACTAGGGTTAGTTTGCTCGGATTTGTGCCAGCACTGTCCTCAGCAGGCATAGTGCAAAAGCAGGCCAGTCCTGAACTTTGTATTTGAACATATCCACACTTCCTCCCCCATCACCACCACCACTCCTCCTCCCCCCCCCCCTCCCCCCCCCCCTATATATTTCAATCCCTGCCCCAGCACCGCATCCTGCAGGCCCCCATCTGGCTCAACGCAGCCCGCCCGGCCCGGCCCGATGGCTCGCTCCTGCCCGGCCACCGGCGGACGTGGGTCAGGGGTGGAGGAGGTGGTTCGAGCTCCCCATACAATCCTTTGCAAAACGGTTTGCCCAAGGTTAGCAGCATTGAAAGTCTGTAAGTACAGAGCACAGACACTTCCGGAACTGTGGAGCTTTCAGATAAAGATTGCATTTAATACACGTACGCAGCATAGCTTGCCAAATTTGATCAAGTCATTATAGGAAAGCTAATATGTATATGTATATATACACACATTCATAGTTCATATAGCTTCACTTATCATACAGTCGGAATAATGCCTTTTGGATGGATAATTCTTTCAGATCATACCAAAGATTGCAAAAAAAAAAAAAAAAAAAAAAAAAAAAAAAACCACCAAAAAACCAAAAAACCAAATTAAAAAAAAAACAAACAAACAAAAAAAAAAAACCATGTCCTTAAGAAATAAACCATGTACCTGTACTTTTTCCTAGCGCATTACATATATATGTATGAATATATATGTACATATCTACATACATTCGCAGTGTTAAGCGCGCTCAGTGTCAGACCGCTCAGCACGACCCCCGCCTTGCACTGCCATGCTCAGGCCCTACATCTCGCGTGGGGCCGTGGGGTATCGCTAAAACCCGCTCCTTTCTGTCCCCAAACATTGTGGTTAAACACGAGGTAATGTGGGGGTTGGAGAAGGAGCTTGTGAAAAATGGAGGGCCGCTGGGCTAAGCAGCGTGCTGACCTCCCTGTAACTTTAAAGCCTCAGGAATTTTAATTTTAGTTAATAAAAGAGACAAAAAAACTATCAAGTATATATGAATTTAGCCTATTTTTTTTTTTTTTTATTTCTGTGTGTTCATAGTAAACATTTTTGTAAGTGACAAACACGGGCATATGACCACAGTATCACAATCAAGAAATTTTAAGACAACATTAACAATCACTCAAATTTATGCGGCATTTGCGCAACACAGGTTACATATTTGCAAGGTTTACCTATAAGTACAATAGGTATTAACATTTCACTACATTTAGAAAAAAAAAATAAAGGTGACCTGTTAGTGACCACATACATCAAAATATACACAACACAAACTGAAGGCAATCAGTAATTTTGTCCCCTTCGGAATCATTGGAACGGGCAGTGCTGCGAACTGAAACAATGCGGCTGTTTTTAAATTACTCCGTACACTGAGTGCATTTTCTAAAACCCAATCTTTGGTCTAAAAGTAAACAAACAAACAAACAGGAAAATAATAATAATAATAATAATAATAAAGAATTAAAAAAGAAGAAGAAGAAGAAGAAGAAGAAGAAGAAAAAGAAGAATGAGAAGAAGAAATAAAAAATAAAATAATAATAATAAAAAAAAAGTAGTTAGGTAAAGAAAAAGATAAAATTATAAATGGCCAAAACGTAGTTTTTGGGCATCTCTCAGTATGAATCTGCTTAAATACAAATCACACTTTCTTTTTTATAGTTTTCACAAATCTAGTGGCTTTTTTCAAGGTCTGCACCCACCGACATATCCATGATAACTTATAATACTGCAAACATGGAGAATCTGGCGGCTTTAGAGATGGACTTTTTTGTGTTAGAATAGGAATCGCGAAAGCAGTCACTATTAGATACACATTCTACTAGAAATTTGTCTTCCAAACTCCATAGTCTACAATGTAATCTCCCCACATTGCACCTCGCTGACACTCCTCACCCTGGTGGCATAATAAACAACCCTAGAGACTGAACAAACGTACAGAAAATGGGGGACTTAATAAAAAATACCTGGGCTTTTTTGTTTTTCTTTTTTTTTTCCTTTTTTTTCTTTTTTTCTCTTTTCAATCATCATTTACAACGCGAACGTGTGTAAAATGTTCACTTACAGTCTGATCCCATGGACGTTAATGTATTAAAGGGTTGGAAGAAGACCCCTGATTTTGATGTGTGAAATAATCGGAGAGTCCTCCGGACAGTCCCGTCGTGAAACTCGGCAAAGAGGGTCTTAGAGACTCGCACGGCAGGGTGGAGGGTGCCTGCGGCGATGTGGACGAAGAGGCGGCCCTGGCCGTCATTGAAGTGCTGCTCTGAGAAGTCATTGAGGGGTGAGGGACGTGGGGGAAAAAGTAACTCGTCTGTCCCGCCAGGAGGTTCACGGAGCAGGGGTTTAGGGAGTAGGTGCCGGAGCAGGGGACCGACAAGCCACACGGCACCGAGGCGGCCAGGGCGGCGGCCGTGAGGTGGTGAGTGGCGTAGGGGATCTCCCCGTTGACGAGTCTATCGACGCTCAACCCGTTGGACGTGGAAAAGGAGTGATTGTTCCCCAAGGAGTTCTGAGTCAACACCGAGCTGTAGGGCATGGGGTGGCTGGGGTAGGCGGACGCAGTCCCGTTGTAGCTCAGCGTGCTGCTGGCCCGCGGGTGGTGCAGGGACAGAAAGGGGGACATGGGCCAGTAGAGGGACCCCGCCCGGTCCATGAAGGTGAGGCCGGTGGAGGTGAGGCGGGCGCCGCGCTTGAAGGCCAGCTTGGCCCGCGAAGTGGTGGAGCGCCGGCGCAGCTTGCCGGTGGTGCCTCCGATGAAGACGTCGTCGCTGGACGGGTCCAGCATCCAGTAGTTCCCTTTGCCCGGGTCGTCGTAGTGGCGGGGCACCTTGACGAAGCACTTATTGAGAGAGAGGTTGTGGCGGATGGAGTTCTGCCAGCCCTGCTTGTTCTCCCGGTAGTATGGGAAATTCTTCATGATGAACTCGTAGATGCCGTTGAGCGTCAGGCGCTTCTCGGGGCTCTGCCGGATAGCCATCATGATGAGTGCGTTGTAGCTGAACGGTGGCTTTTCATACTTGCCGTTCTTCTTCTCTCCCTCCTTGCCGCCCTCCCCGTCCTTGCCCCCGTCGGCCGTCCCCTTCTTCTCCTCGGCCGCCTTCTCCTTCTCCTCCAGCTCCGCCGCCGCCGAGCCCGCCTCGCCCTTCCCCGCCAGCGCCTCGGCCTTGGCCGCCTCCAGGGCGCCGGCGGCGGGCGGCGGCAGCAGCAACGGCGCCTTCTCCTCGTCCTCGTCTTCGGCCGCAGCAGCGCGCTGGGGCTGTTGCGGCGGCGGCGGGTGGTGGTGGTGGTGGTGGTGGTGGTGGTGCGGATGGTGGCTGTTGTGGTGGCTGTGGCCGCTGTGGTTGTCGTTCTGCACGGCTTCGGGCACCAGGCTGTTGATGCTGAAAGAGGACTTGGGCAGCATTTTCACTTCCTTCCTATCTCCCATGTCCAACATCACACGCTGCGCCGAGGGGGCGGCTGGCGGCGGCCGGGGCCGGGCGGGTGGGGGCCGGGCGGGCGGCGGCACCACCGGCGGCGGCGGCGGCGCGGCGGGAGCGCAGCGTCAGGCGCTGGCACGGCATGTAGCACGGGCGGGGGACGACGGCAGCGGTCACCGAGCGGAGAGAGCCGGAACGAAGGGGAAAAAAGAGGAGGAAAAAGGAGTAAAAGAGCCCTCTAAAAACCAAGCAACAACAACAACAACAAAAAAAAAAAACCAACACCGCACGCACACGCATACAAAAAAAAAAAAAAAAAAAAAAAAAAAAAAAAGCTACTTCATGGTACCGGTTCCCCCGGTAAACCGGTATAGGGGGGAGGACGCGCCGCGGGTCGGAGAGGAGCCGGCTATACGGAGCGCCCCGGCCGCAATTAATTTCAGAGCTGCAGACACGCACCGTGGCTGTAAAAAATTTTTTGGTTTAACCTTTCCCACCGGGCGCCCAATCAGAGGCGGCGGCGTGCCGGAGCGTCCTGCCTCCCGCCTGCCAATGGCTGCGCGCAGCCACGCCCATACCTCTCCGAGACTCCGCCCCCCTCGCCGCCGCGGCTCCCGCCGCGCAGGGATACCGATGCGGGGCGCATCACCGGCCGTGCCCCTCCGCGCAACGGCACTAATCTCCCCGTGCCCAGCCAACGGCGCTTGGCTCCGGGGTTCCGTTCGGTAACTCCTCCGGTGGAGCAAAGTTGCTCCGTCCCTCCGTGCCACTGGGGCAGGAGGACGGGAGCCGGGGGGGCGCGCAATCCGCGCGGTGCCGGAGCAGAGGTACTACTTGGCGGATTCCGACGGCGCCCGTCGGCAGTGTGTTCTCGGGCCCCGCCGCGCTGTTGTTATTTGTTTAACCAACGGGGAGCAACGCAACTCAGCCGGAGGGGTCGGGACGGCGGGGCAGGAGCTGCAGCCAGGGCGGTGAAAGGGCTCGGGCCCGATGTGGCGGCGGCAGCAGCGCCGGGCGGGTAGAGGCCTCTGGCCGAGGCCTGCGGAGCAGCAGCACCGCCGAACGAATTAAGCGCCCCCGTACCACCCGAGTCCCGCGGGCTCCGGCGCAGCGCCCCGCGCAGCGCCTCCGTCGGCCCCGGAGGGACTCAGTGTGGGCCGTGGGAAAGGGAACGGGGGCTCCATTCCGGCGGTAGCGTTGGTTCAGGGGCTCGCGGAGCGGGTTCGGTGCTGCTCGACCGCATCACGGCGTTACTGCTGTGAGTACGGGCAGAAATGTGAATCGGCCCCGAAACAAAGCGAGATGAGCCCTGCGGCTTCCTCGCTCTGAAAGGAGAAGGGGAAGTGTGAGTGATAGAGTATTGGTCACGTTTAAAATGAACGCTGTGCAACAAAACGTACAGCCGGTGCCTGTCGCTGCTTTCAACTACCCAAAGTTTATGTTTGTCCCGCTGGAGAAATGGTTCCGTTGAAATGACACCCGCAGCCCTGCCCCAGCAGTGTGTCCCGGGAAACCCAGTGCAGATTCCAGTGCAACCACCACGGCTCTGTGCATTTTCTGTATGCGTTTGTGTGTATGTGCGTGTGTGCGAGAGCGCGGCTGTGAGAAAGAGAGTAAATCCCCACAACAATTGCTGTGGATGGGCAATAAACAATTGCAATTGGGCATGGCACGAACTATGTGCGTTGGATTAACCTCGCTTGACCTCACCACAATTGTATTTATTTATCCAATTCCGTAACAGGTTGCTACTGACCGAAAAGAAGTAGAAGTCAATGGATCAACTGCCTTCGGTTTTTATTTATTTATTTTTTTTAGAATTGCCGTTGTTAAAAAAGAAAAATCATGACAATTTGTATTTATTTCATTGCACAACACTGAAGCCAATAGATGGGAACTCCTGAGGAAGAGCGCAGTGTGGAGGATGTGACTGAGCTCTGCTGTGCTACGGGTAAGAGGAAAGGTAAGCTCTATGCATATTGTTATGGTTCTGATGGGCATTAACCAATATATGTCAGTGCGGTACAGCAAGATCCCATCGGGGTGGCTGGGCCCTGTGCGTTTTCCTACTCGGTCTAGCATGTAATGATTCGGTGTAACCGGATTCTTGAGAAAGGACAGGTTACGTAAACATTTACTGCTGTGGAGTAACTATACTATTTGTACTCTGATATGCAGGAAGGAAAGTGTTGATTAACACAGAAGAAAAAAAAAAAAAAAGCGAAATTAGCTGATTGCATGCTCATAAGTGCAAGCTGTCATTGAACTGCTTTTAAAATAGACACAGCTGGGTGTTTGTGTTGAAAAATTTCTTGTGTTTTTGCTAATACTGAAATAAGCATGATTTTGTATACCAAACATTTTCAGATCATTAAAATTTCTAATCTGTGCTGGTTTTAAACACAAAGAAAAGAAACGGATTCATTTCGCAGTAAAATTTGCTGATATTATATTAACTCAATCAGGTCTGTACAAACGGGGTATTGTGCCTTATCAAATCCCTTTGATCCATTTAATACACCAAGTGCCAAACGTGTGTATTGTTTGTTAACATTGAGCGTTTTATTCAAATCCCAGCTCTGCAGCAAACCGGAGGAGCTCTCGTTTAATATAACACTGACATCGCCTGCTGAAATTTTAATGCTCTGAGGTGTTCCTTAGGTCAAAGCTGAGTCTGCTTAGCTCTGCAGTCAGGGATGAGAATGTAGCAGAGAAAGAAAGAAAACCTTCGTCCTTTTGCATTTCTGAGCAAAGGTCCCATACGGACAGCAATGTGTTTTTACAGCGTTTGGTGATCTGGGCTTAATATTCAGTCATGTATCATGGCAGCAGAATAAAGTACTGTGCAGAAATTTAGGATTTAATGATGTATTTTTTTTAGCGCCATGGATATACAGTTCTACCAAAAAAGGTAATGTTGTGTTCAATATGTAGTGCGTATTGTTCCAAGTCCGTGAGATTAATTCACTGTTCATAGGACAGAAAAGGATATGTAGGAAAAGCACGTCAATTATTTAATTATTTAATTATTTAATTATTTAATTATTTAATTATTTCTACTGGACTTTCGAATCTGATTTTTCTTTTTCCTTAAAAAAAAAAAAAAATCTTCTGAAAATTCTCTATGTATAAAAGCGGGACTATTGGCTTTGGACAGACGAAGTTCTGCTCTAACACCAGTTCTTCTGTTAGCTCTGACCTGGCCTCAGCTCCCGGCCACTTCAGCGGTAGCTTTGTATATGGTGGCCCGGAATAAATGACTGGTTTGACCCTCTCAGCTCCATCTGCACTCGAATTCCTGTGAGAGGGTCCAGAAATTTAGCACTTTCTAGCATGAAAATTTTGGTGGAGTGACTGGCGAAACAGCTTGAACAGAGAAGGGAATGCACGGCCCCAGCCCGGCAGGGCACTGCCAGTGCGAGGAGGGGCAGCTCTCTGCTCCCCACCCTCAGGGACCCGTGGCGCTATGGGGCCGAGAGAGTCCCGCTCCGGGGTGAGGGTGAGGACCCCCGGCTCAAATGCCATCCAAAGGGTTGCCGTGCTGTTTGAATACAGATTCTGGATACAATCCTTACTGATAATGTTTCACCGTAGATTCTTCCTTGATTGTTTTTTAAAAATTAAAGGCCGAAGGAAAAGTGTACCACTGTCAGCTCGATGGATGCAGATATGCTGTGACCCCCACCCCCACCCCCCGCGGCTCCAGCCTCCAGTCCCCCTTCACACGAATACAGCGGCTCTGCACTCCCAGGCTCTTCCAAGGGGTTAAGCTGCTAAAATGTCCTGACAGCTTAAGGAATGAATGAGGGTTTTTTCAGCCATGAAGAAAGAGTATTTAATAACCACGCTTCGATGGCATCATGTGTCCACGAAACGAATCGGGACACCTTAGATTAACAGCCTCTAATATCACGTTGGGTACAGTAAATGCCTGGATGTGCGCATTTATAACTCTATCCCCCGGATTCTAAGCTTGTCTTATTTATTCCAGGTTACCTGGGCAATTAAGGTAAGAACAGCTCAGCAGACAGCGATATCCCGCTGCTCGGGCAGGGCGAATGGGGTCGGAACACAGCGCTAACAAAGGCGAGAGGTGGTCATACAGATTGAAGAGGGGTGAATGGGCTGGAGGTGGAGGAATGAATGGAGGCAAAGAGAGAGAGGAAGAAGTATTCAGCGGTCCACCCTTACATCCTCGTTTGTATATTTAAGTTTAGGTGTCTGTCTCTAACCGACTTTCAGTTAATCCCTAACAGCTGGTCGTGGTGCTAACGTTTAGTGATTAGAAGGTACTCTATTTAGCATGCTGTATCCTTCTTGCCTGGGTTTTGGTTACAGGTTATACGATTAGCATTGCGAGAACAGTAGTGAACTAAACTTCCCAGTGAGAGGTCTTCACACCAGGGAAGTGTTACTTTGCGGCAGCAGCCCTGCCTCGTCAGTCATTAGGAAGCTGCAGGTTGTCAGAGCCTTCTCTTGCGCGCACACACGCGCAGACACACACGCGCACACACACAAAACCACAGCACTAAAACTAAATTAAGAAGCCGATGATTAAGACAAGCGTCTACGAGGCCTGTCATTTCAGCATCCTTCCATCATAACATTATGGCACCGAGAAATTTGCTTTAAAACCCTGGAAAAAAATGTCTATGGGAGAGCCTTGTATTTGAGATAGCATAAACGTTATCATCGAGTGTAGGCTGGGAACTGCCGCGGATACAAGATGGTATTCCACTGAGGACACGGGTGCTGCAGGGACCTCTGGGCTGTCCGCGCACTCGGGTGAGTATTGCTCCATTCTATTGAAGCAGGTATGCAGGCACTGCGCGAATCGAAGTGGACCGTGTTTGAAATCCGCAGCTCCGTTCCTTGCGGAGACTTCGGGGAACTCCCCCTAAAGATAGATCTATAATGAAAAGTCCCTGCCGGATGACTAATGGTTATTGGCACTCGGTGCCCCTTTAAGGAGAGCGGCACATATTGTGCAGAAGACCTTGCCAGCACCCTTTAAATA